CAAAAAATTAATTTTTCTACAGCAAAATGGCTCACCCTTAAACTTATGTGCACTGTGCTTCGAAAAGCTGAAGTTTAAAAAATATTTGCTTAAATGAAATGAAAGTCGGCCAAAATGTCAAATAACTGCCTGCCACATGTTTTATGCATGAAAAGTTATGGCATACACAAAATGAGTTTGTTTTAGCAAAACAACAAATGCGTAAATATATGTACACCCACATATAAGCATTGACAAACACAAAATTTTTAATTACAAAAATAAACCATTACTGCTGCCAGTTTTAATAATAAAGACCAACATAACAACTGTGACATTTTAACCGTAATGGCTCACAACACATATCCGTACATATACGTGTATATGTTTATACATGTATTAATAGTTACGAAATTGTAGGTGTACTATATGTAATTACTATTGTAATGGAGTTGTGTTTCAATGCGAAACTTAGAGTGACGATTTGGCTGAGGGAAGCCTTGACTGCCCCCTGCTTAGTGGTTAGACTCCTATGTTATCTGCAATATTAAAATGTATGCCTACTCACAATTATCAAAAGGTTATATATTATTTTTCTGTTTCTACTTCTGGTTTAAATTATGCATAATTTGCGAAATATTCGCCTTTGGCCCTCACCCAGTATACATTTCAGTTGAGTGCACCCGAAAATCCGCAGCTGCTTCAAATTGTTTAATGGAAAARCGATGTTCGCTCGCAATCGGTCAATCAACCGTACAATCTCTGGTGCCATTCACTTCATATCTGCTTGCTTATCTGTTTGTTTGTTCTTGCTGTTTGCTTATTCCTTACACCCACACATACAAAAGGACTTCGGAGATCCTTCAAGCTACTTACCACTGCTGTCATTGTCAGTTAACCCGCTGTGTTCGTCTCGCTCTCTCTTCTTGTCGGTGYGGATGAGTTTTAATTACTTAATTTTTATGACATGCACATGTAAATTTTACAGTAAATAAATTTCAATGGACATTTTATGCTTTGGAAATTTGACATTATGTTACATTGCGTTATATGTTCCGTAATGTTAGCATTGTCTTCCTGGCACCCTTGCTGATTGGCCGGACGCTGTGCTGCGTTTGGCTATCAAATTTTATGGCGCATACTTTATGTGGCGTAGTAACAACGGCGCGTAAGTGGCGAGCACAGTTGCTGAGCGCATCAGCGGAATGTGAAGCATAAAATTTGTTGCAATACATTACAGTACTTTCAACTTATAAAAAATAGTACATGGAAATAAAATTAATTTAAATACTTTCAAAAGAATGTGATAAATGCTGAAGTGCTGCAGCTTTATGTTTGAAGTAATGGAAGGCACTTAATTCTTAGAGAACTTTAAGATATTGAGTATGGCATTTCGAACTCTTGAAGACTCATGAATTGAACATTGAAACGAATTGAAACGAAGTTTCCTGCTGCTGCTGTTTTTTGTAGTTTGCTGAGGTTTACTCGCCGTGTCCAGGGTTCGTTACAATAAAATAAACTATGAGACTCTCCGCAAATCGTACTTTATTTCTTGTTTTATTATGATTATATTTACAATTTGTGATTTAAATGGTGTTCTCGGCGTTGTAGTGTCGTCACGCGGAGATAGCGCAATGGCAGAGTAACAGTTTAGCGTGACTCGATACTAATATGTGGACCTACGGAGGGCAGTGGCCGAACCAAGCGTGGAGTAAGGCATAGGATCGACTCACTATCCGCTTCACGCGTGACTTCCTGCTTTTGTACGATAAACACAGGAATGCTTCCTAGAAGATCGACTCACTGCCAAACATTCTTATGCCGTATCCTAAGGTAAGGATATCTGAACAAACAMTTAGCGCGACAGTCATGCGGGACTATACTATGCTGCATGCCTTGACGCTCGTGTAAGATACGACGACGATGTTGAGTATGTCCGCATATGTATAGGCTGCAGCTACGATTATCTGCTGCGTAACTAGCAGTATACTGCGACGTTACTGCGGTATAGCCGTGCAAATCCCCGGACCACAGAATACTATACTGGCGATAGCAATGTTAAGGGCTAAGTCGGTCAGAGGAACAACTCACTACCGAGCTCATCTTTAACAGGCGGTATTCACAAGTCAACGTACCAAGATTGACTATAGGATCGACTTACCGCTGAGTCTGTTTTTGATGTGTATATGCTGTCACAGTTTTCTCAGAGACAAAGAAATGCCTAACTCCTCTCTCATTGTAAATGAGACAGCAATCGGTAAACGTCAAAACCTAATKAATTTTATCAATACGGATACTACATACTAAACAAGTATTGAAAATAAATTTTAGGAAATTATATTCACTCATTTACTAATGATGTTCATATCTAACATTCAATCATGAATAAATAGTTTATATGTATATATGAAACAATTTTCAATTGATTCACCTAACAATTTCCTTCTTGTTAACCAATTTACCTTGAAAGTTATGGCACTGAGTTTGTTAGAAGAAACGTGGCGAATTTGATGTTCATTTTCAATGTTGCGCTTATGTACGGAAAGAGTTTTTTAAGTTCACACTTTTTAGCAGATAAGTAATTAGAATTCATTTTTGTTTAGAATCTTCCGATAATATGGTAATTTTTTTTCGAATTAAATGTTGGGTGTTTTAATTTAAATGCCCAAAAAGTTATTATTTTCTCCGATCTGGCTATAATAGACAATGCTGTAAAACACGCTAATTTTGAGGAGCTCTCACACCAGAATGAGTTGGACATCCTTTCTTCCCTGGTTGTGTGCTGACTGACTGACGATCAGCCTGCTAACCCTGCGGCAAGC